CTTTTATTATATAGGACTAGTGGCCCGGTACACAAAATTCATGCATGGAAGGGTGTCCCATCTGGTACCAATCTGGGACCCCTCGGGAGATGTCTGACTGCCAGTTTAGGCCTGATCCCACAAGGGGTCTCACAGGGATCAGGTCTAACCCAGCAGTCAAACATCCCTCTTGCAATCTGGGACCACTGGCTCCTAACCGCTCACCTGCCTGCTTACCTGATCACCCCTAACCACTCTGCTGCTGGCCTGATCAACCCCAACTGCCCCTCCTTGCAGCCTGATCACCCCTAACTGCCCGCCCCTGCTGGACTGATTACCCCCAACTGCTTTCCCCCAACAGCCTGCTTGCCCCCAACAGCCCTCCCTTGCTGGCCTGATCGCTCCTAACCACCTCTGCCTCGGCCCCACCACCATGGCTTTGTCTGTAAGGACATCTGGAAGGTCTCCCAGTCTAATTAGCATATTACCCTTTTATTACTATAAAATAGAGGCCAGGTGCACAGGTGGGGACTGGCTGGTCTGCCCTGAAGGGGGTCCTAGATCAGGATGGGGGTCCACTTGGGGGGTGGGGTTGGCCTGGGCAAGGGGCCTGGAGTGGTTTTCAGGCCAGCCACGCCCCCATCGGGGTGAGGGTCCCCACTGGCTGTCATGGCCAGCCTGGGCAAGGGGCTGAGGGCCATTTTCAGGCTGGCCATGCCCCCATCAGGGTAAGGGTCCCCACTGGGGGTGTGGCCAGCCTGGGTGAGGGGCTGAGACCATTTTCAGGCTGGCCACACCCCCTTCAGGGTGAGGGTCCCTACTGGGGGACATGGCTGGCGTGGGAGAGGGGCTGAGGGCCGTTTGCAGGCCAGCCACATCCTCATTGGGCTGAGGGTCCCCACTGGGGGCAGGGTGGGCCCGAGCAAGGGGCTGATGGCCATTTGCAGGCTGGCCACACCCCCCTTGGAGTGGGGGTTCACACTAGGGGGCATGGCCAGCCTGGGTGAGGGGCTGAGGGCTGTTTGGGGTCAGCTTGAAGGCTAGCCAAGCCCCCAGCTTTGTCCAGAAGGATGTCTGGAAGGTCTCCGGGTCTAATTAGCATATTACTCTTTTATTAGTATAGACTAGAGGCCCGGTGCACAAAAATTTGTGCACTCGGGGGGAAGGGGGGTCCCTCAGCCTGGCCTGTGCCCTCTCGCAGTCTGGGGCCCCTAGGGAGATAACAGCCTGTTGGCTTAGGCCTGCTCCTGGGTAGTAGAGGGCAGGCCCAATCTCTAGGTGCAGCCCCTGGCCGGGCTCAGAGCAGGGCTGATTGGGGAGTTGGGGCACTGCCCCCTGTCATGCACAGAGCAGGGCGGATAGGTAGGTTGTAGCCCCGCCCCCTGTCACACACAGAGCTGCAGGGCGATCAGGGGGTTTGGGCGCTGCCCCCTGTCACACTCATCTTGGTGCTGGGAGGCCTCACGGCTCTGCTCATCCCGGTGCTGGGAGGCATATTACCCTTTTACTATATAGGATAGAGGTCTGGTGCACGGGTGGGGGCCGGCTGGTTTGCCCTGAAGGGTGTCCTGGATCAGGGTGGGGTCCCGCTTGGGTGCCTGGCCAGTCTGGGTGAGGGGCTGAGGGCTGTTTTCAGGCTGTCAGGTGACTGAAGCTCCCAACCGCTCTTTTTTTCCTTTTTTTTTTTATTCTGGGCCAGCTTTAGCTTTGGGTTCTATAATCAAAACACTGTTTCAACTCCAGCTCTGAGATCCCGGCTGGCTGAAAGCAGCGATCTGCGTTTGTTCTATAATTGAAACAATGTTGCGGTCCTGCTGGCTGAAGCCCGGCTGGCTGAAAGGTTTCTGGGGTTTTGTTTAGCTTCTATATTTGTAACAATGTTTCAAACTGCAAGCTCAGAGGCCTTCAGTGGCAGGCGGGGAACGTTAGCTTCCTCTGTCACTGAAGCAAGCAAGCCTCATGTTCGCTTCAAGCTGCCTGGCTGCCGGCCGCCACCTTGGCTGGCAGTTAATTTGCATATCGCCCTGATTAGCCAATGGGAAGGGTAGCAGATGTACGGCTAATTACCATGTTTCCCTTTTATTAGATAGGATACCAAGGCCATTGCTTATAATTGTAGCATAACTGACTTCTCATCTATGGCCTCTCATCATGTTAAGTCTTTCTGCACATAAAAGATCTGGCCTTCCTAGAATTGATTTGGATTAACATGTTCACCTCTCAGAAGCCTCATGACTGCCCTCTACTTAAAGATAAAGATTAGACTCCTCATTCTGATATTCCAAGTCATCTAACACTGCCATCACCTACCATTTTGAGCACATCAGCCTCCACACCACAGAAGAAAGACCTTCTGTTCCAGTCAGCCTGAGCAACTCATTGTTCCCTGAGGTCAGAAGCACAAGATTCCTTCAGGAAGGCCCTCTGGTCGCAATCCCTCCCCTACCAGTTGCTCAACAGAAGCCTTTAGAAGTGGTACTCCTATGGTCTGCTTCCTTTTCTCATGTTTAAATGCAGTAATAATAGCACCTGCCTCATGGGGTGAAGATTAAGTAAGTCACACCTGTAAAGACGGTCATAGTGTTGAGCCCTCAAGTGTTCACTAAATATCAGCCAGTATTATTGCTTCTCCTTTCCTCACACTGTTCCTTCCATCTGAAGCCCTTCCTCCCTCATTGACTTTGCCTTAATCTTAAAGAGTCCTCAAAGGTATAACTCTAATTCAACTTTCTCCATGTACTTTGACCAATGCACATTGATGCCTTCTGTCTCTCTCATGTTTACCAGTCCCATCACAAATTTGGTGTTTAGCTTGTTGGTTACCTTTTCAAGCTATCTTCTCTATTTCAATGAGATTGTACATTTCTTGCGGGGCAAGTGCTTTGTCATAAGCTGTATGAGTCCCAGTGAATGAGTGGCTAATAAAGGTCTGCTGTTTGTTATGCTGAGTTCAGCACTGCTTCTTCACACAAAATTATTTTTCTTTTTTTCAAGAATTTCACATGATATAAACAAAAGGATGGAGAGACATCTAAACCATCACTAGAAAGCAGTATCTTTGCCAAACAGCCATTTATTTCACAAAACACCATAATAAGCATTTTGCTTCCTTAATTCAGAGGGGGAAATAGCAAATCAGTCCTGACCACTACCGGTCTGGAAATTCATTCAAAAGGGTGGGAAGAGAAGCCTTAGCTAGAAGAACTCTGTCAAAGCAACAGTGTGGCATGACATAAAACACATCTCCATGAGAACTACAGACAAAAAATACAAAGAAGTTAAGGAATCACCTACTACTGCGTGTCACAGTTCCCACATAACAGGCATTTAATAAACTTTGCTGAATTAACGAATGAATGATGAATGGAAAAGATTCTGATAGGGAATACATATTTGAAATGATTCTCAATCATTTAAAGAACTATATGTGAGGATCACCATTTTCTTACAAAAACTTCTTTTTTAGTCTTTGTCAGAGATAGGAAATAGGACTGGGTGGACCACTAATGTGACCTACACGAGCATTTCTTCTAGTTTTATGTATTACTAGAGGCCCGGTGCACAAAAATTTGTGCACTCGGGGGGAAGGGGGGACCCCTCAGCCTGGCCTGTGCCCTCTCGCAGTCTGGGACCCCTCGGGAGATAACGACCTGCTGGCTTAGGCCTGCTCCCGGGTGGCAGAGGGCAGGCCCAATCCCTAGGTGCAGCCCCTGGTCGGGCTCAGAGCAGGGCCGATTGGGGAGTTGGGGCGCTGCCCCCTGTCATGAACAGTGCAGGGTGGATCGGGAGGTTGCGATGCCACCCTCAGTCACGCTCAGGGTAGGGCCAATTGGGGGGTTGGGGCACCGTCCTCTGTCACACTCAAGGCAGAGTCGATGGGGAGGTTGCGGCGCCACTCCCTGTCATGCACAGAGCAGGGCCAATCAGGGGGTTGGGGCGCTGCCCCCGTCACACACAGAGCAGGGCCCATCAGGGGGTTGGGGCACCGCCCTCTATCACCCACAGAGCAGGGCCCATCAGGGGGTTGGGGCGCCGCCACTCTCACACTCAGGGCAGGGCCAATGCGGAGGTTATGGCTCTACCCCGTCACACACAGAGCAGGGCCCGTGGGGGGGGGGGTTGGGGAGCTCCCCCCCATCAGGCACAGAGCAGGGCTGCTCAGGGGGTTTGGGCACTGCCCCCTGTCACGCTGATCCCGGTGCCGGGAGGTATATTACCCTTTTACTATATAGGGTAGAGGCCTGGTGCATGGGTGGGGCCAGCTGGTTTGCCCTGAAGGGTGTCCTGGATCAGGGTGGGGGTCCCCACTGGGGTGCCTGGCCAGTCTGGGTGAGGGGCTGAGGGCTGTTTTCAGGCTGGGAGTGACTGAAGTTCCCAACCGCTCCTTTTTTTCTTTTTTTTGTTTTTTATTCTGGGCCAGCTTTACCTTGAGGCTTGGCTCCAGCTCTTAGGCCTCCGCGGCTGAAAGTAGGTTTCTGGCCTTTGCTTACAATGTTGTGAATATGCTGGCTGAAGTCCGGCGGTATTTGTTACAATGTTTCTTAAACTGCCCGCTCAGAGGCCTGTAGCCGCAGGCGGGGAACTTTGGTTTCCTCCAACGATCCTCCGTCACTGAGGCAAGCAAGCCTCATGTTAGTTTCAAGCTGCCTGGCTGCCGGCCGCCATCTTGGCTGACAGTTAATTTGCATATCTCGCTGATTAGCCAATGAAAAGTGTAGTGGTCGTACGCCAATTACCATGTTTCTCTTTTATTAGTGTAGATTGCCTAGATTTCAACTGTGATATAAATTGTATCAGGTCTATAACAAGGAAAAGGATATCTATTTCAAAATTTATATTCTAAAAATGTTAGCTCTCGTGTAAGACCTTAATTGTAACATTGATGTCTTAGTGTTGTTTCACACAATTGCTTATATACCAGCTTGCTTTTATTTCTTCAAATTTAATTGAAATGCAAAGGACAGTCTCAATGTATTGTACAGAAATATAGAATATTAATGAGTAAACCATCTGATACTTACACTCCCTTTACACTTTCTGGATCCCACAATAGGAGGCAGTGAAGAAGCTTTCTGACTGCGAAAACAAATTGCAATTTAGAAATACGAGTGTTATTTATAAATAATATACAATGCAAGACAATTGTCATCCCAATTTGTCATCCCAACCTGGAAGTCAACTGTTTACTGATATCAGTGTTTCACAAAAGTGAAACATACTTTCCCAATTTCACGAGGACCACCATAAAATTTCAAAATTCCATTCCAAAAGATGTTTACTATTTTTCTGCATACTATTGTAATTGATACCACAAACCTTTAGCACCACATTATATTCTTTTACAGCATTTTTATTTAATTCCCTGAATTTTCCATATGAATTTCAAAAGATCATTTCTCAAGCTGAGTAATGACTTTGCCAAATTGAGTTTAAAACAATAAATTTATCTCTCTCTCTCTTTAAACTCCTATGCTGTCTGCCTCTGATAGGAGCTCAGAATGGTAGCACATGGACATTTATATTCAGGAACTTTCTAAACCAGTCCCTCTTGTCAAAAAATAAAAACTCTCTTCAACTATAGGAATGTTGTCTCATGGATGTCTATATTATTAGGAAAAGACCTATTCTGGAACTCAACCGAAACTCTGTAAATAAGAGGATACAGAGATAAATGTCATCTTACTGATTTGCCTGAGAAAGGTCACCATGAGTTAGGGTTTTCCCACTGCCATCAATTACACACTGACGCTAACAACAGGCTAATCCAGGGTTGCCTGGCAGGCTGTGGAAGGATTTGATTTCATGGATGGGTAAGGATGGTTAGCAATAAGTCCGCTGGTGAGTAATTCTAAAGTGCTGGGAAACCATGTGCTCTTGCATACATTAAACAACATCCCTGAAATTTGGTTTCATCTAATACTTATCTAGAGACCCTCAACTGAGCTCTCCATCAGGCTTCACAAACTGTGAATTAATGGACAGCATATTGGTGACATTCTGCTCTGTCTCTACAAGTATCACCCACCCTAGCAGAGAACCACCAAAAAGTTCTGTTTCCAATAGCAAAATGGTCACAGAATATCCATAAATTGCAGTAGAGGTTGATCCCTGGGCACCGTGAGCAAGCTGAAGGGAGGGTCCCAGCATGGGCCAGGAGCCAGGGGCTCCTCAGTCATGCCTATGAGGTCCAGCTACTTTGCTGAAATAAGGCATCTTTCACCAATATATGACATTGCATAGAGAAAAATGGTCCACAGTGTATCATGAGTAATTAAAACTGTTATCTATAAAATTTTGCATATATTAACTACAAAAGCAGTTAATCTATTTATTTTGCACAAGTGGAATTTTATTGTTTTTATATTTTACAGTTATTATTAAACGGTGTATAAAATATTATGGGTTTTTTTAAACACCTTTAGATGTTTTGAATGCACCAGCTGGAAAATTACTTGATCCAGCTAAACAGTTAAGACATTCTTAAAACTTCTAATAATGTATGCTTTAAAGAAGCTAATTGGCCTGCCATTGAGGCTCAGTGGTTGAGCATCGACCTATGAACCAGGAAGTCAAGGTTTGATTCCTGGTCAGGGTACGTGCCTGGGTATGTACATGCTCCTGCTCAATCCCCAATGTGGAGCGTGCAGGAGGCAACCAATCAGTGATTCTCTCTCATTATTGATGTCTCTCTCTTTTCCTCTCCCTTCTTCTCTGCAATCAATGAAAATTTATATTTTTTTAAAAGAAGCTAATTTCCCTGTATCTTCTTCACAAGAGTAAATCTTTATATTTGTTATAAAATCATAAATGAATAGAAAAAAATAAAAATATAGTAAAAAAAATATACTATTTAGTTTTCCATAGATTTCCAAAAATTATTGTGCAATAGACTTCAATCTCCAATCATGGCAAAAAAACAAAGGTCAATGTATATCATATATGCTTTGCAGTCTAACTGATAAACAAGATTATATAAAATACACCAATGGTCAGCAAAAGACTCAATGCTATTTCAAGTGATAACTAACATATGAGAAGTAAATAAGGATGAAAACTTACCCGTAAGACCTTCTCATGGTTGACTTGTCAAAAAGTAATTCACTGTAAGGCAATTTCTTAAACTTATCTCTGCCAACAGCCACATAAAACTGTCCATTCTCCAACTCTGTCCCACTTTCAACCAGTTTTCCTTCTAAAGTATAAAGTCTGCCAAAATATGAATGCCAACAATTAAAATTTTAACAAGCATTGAAAAAACTGCTTAAAATTACAAAGTAAATAAAGACATTCTGTTCTTAATTTGGCTCATCTGTTACTATCCCAATTATTGAATTGCAAATGCCTCAAAGCCATTAGATTCAACTAAATGCCAACGTTATAATGCAGACACAGTTACTAACTAGCTGCACATGCACTGACAATCTAACATGATATCCCCTGTGGCTGCCATATTAAGATTTTAGAGGGGAAGATTTAACTGGTACAGAGAGCGGTGCCTTAAATAAAGCCCAGCTTCTGTTGAAGTTTGTTCTATTTACATTTGGTAAGTACTTTTAAAGTTTATTTTCTTAATATACTTGTCAGAATGATTTGCCTCCTAAAGCATTCTGTATATGAGCAGCCATCAGTCAAAAGATTACATCTAAACACACAAAACTGGGTCAGAAAACAAGAGGTTGAGAGGGCAGGAGGTGAAAGAACCCATTGCCAGTATTAATGATGCAGAACCACATAACATTCCTGCTTCTTTCTTTTTTTCCCCTTCCTTCCCTCATCTTCCCAGAATAGATTTCACAAGAACCTCCCTTTACTGTAAAACTGCTGCTGCAAACTACAATTAATATGTTACTTATTCAAAGAACAGTGATAATTTTGTAGACCATTTAAAGTATCCAGAGAATTTCTTTAAAGAGCGGGGGGGAGGGGAGGGAAAGGGGGGCCTACTAGAAAACTACACAAAAAGACAATGCAGATATTTGAAGGTTATAAACAAGAGCAACTAGGTAGATTTCAAGAAAATCATTCAAAAATTATCAGGCTTCCTATACTGTATAATAAATGTTAGTAACATTTGCAAAGGAAATGAAAAGTCCATTGACCTGTCTGCTTGTTTACTGGTTATGTAAAAAGAAAATAGCCACCAAAATCCTGGAATATGTTTGTGTTGAGTTAGTATCAAGACCTTTTCTTTTATAACATTGTACTCCTCTCCCTACAAGTCAACACTTCACCCAGGGTTCTGGTTTTCCTGCCTGGACCTAAACCAGGGTTTCTGAACGCTGTTTGGACAAGACTATGCTCTTTTGGAGAGGTGGGCAGGCTGTCCTGTGGACTGTAGATAACAGCACCTTTGGCTTCTACCCCCTCGGTGGTAGTAGCTGGCCCATCCCCAGCTGGGACCACCAGAAATGACTCCAGACACTGCCAAATATCCTCGAGGGGGAAAACTTCCCCTGGTTGAGAAGTACTGGTTTAGACCCGGACATTCTTCTTTCATTTTCCTTCAAAATAGGAAGATCAAAATTCGTAATTAACTTTTATAGAAAGAAATGAAAAGGCAGCATAGCTGTGGATCTGGAAATAGCTAAGATATGACTGGTTTCCTCTACAGGTGGGAAAGAGGCCCTGCATAAGTCCTAGCCCATGATTTTAGCTTTTCTTTATGTGACTCTTGTTGACCTGCTTTCTTCCTTTGCTACAAAGACAAGAAATATAAATAGGAAGTTGAGCCAATTTTTATGGAATGCTTTTCATATATAAATGTATTGATGTGCAGTGTAGGATCCAACCATAAAATTTTTTAATGTTTCATTAAGGAAAAATGGGCATATCCCAAGTCAACAGCAACCAAATCTCACTCATATCTGGCATTATATTAAGAATAGACTTTCTCTAAGTATTCAAATGTTCAGGGACATATAAGTATATTTTCTTTCCTGTATTTGTACTTTCATAAATTTTATTTCTATGTATAAATTTATTCATATCAATATATGTATGAATAGGTGTATCTTGGGCATGCAGTTGTGTATATATATATTTTTTATGCTTTATATTTTTTATTTAGTGGGTTTATATTTATGTATATGTCAAAAGATGCAATTATAGCCCTAGCCGGTTTGGCTCAGTGGATAGAGCATCAGTCTGCAGACTCAAGGGTCCTGGGTTCGATTCCGGTCAAGGGCATGTACCTTGGTTGAGGGCACATCCCCAGGAGGGGGTGTGCAGGAGGCAGCTGATCGATGTTTCTCTCTCATCGATGTTTCTAACTCTCTATCCCTCTCCCTTCCTCTCTGTAAAAAAATCAATAAAATATATTTTTAAAAAAAGATGCAATTATATCTAATAAAAATCAATATATAACTAGAGGCCTAGTGCACAAAATTCGTGCACTCGGGAGGGTGGTCACTCTCGCAGTCCAGGAGCCCTCGGGGGATGTCCAACAGTCGGATATCCTTAGCACTGCTGCGGAGGCAGGAGAGGTTCCCGCCACCACTGCTGCGCTCGCCAGCCATGAGCCCAGCTCAAGGCTTCTGGCTGAGCAGTGCTCGCCCAGTGGGAGCGCACTGACCATCAGAGGGCAGCTCCTGCATTGTCTGCCCCCTGGTGGTCAGTGCACATCATAGCATGCTATTGAGTGGTCTTAGCATATTATTAGCATATTACTTACACATTGATTGGTTGAACAACTGACCACAAGACCAGACACTTAGCATATTAGGCTTTTATTATATAGGATTGAGATCTGTCTTCACTCTTGATCCCAAAATGAAACCCAGGAGGATCAAAGTTTCAAATGAAATTTAAAAGTATGAGACAAAAACAGAAAAATATTTTTATAATCTTGGAGTGAGAAAGACCTAAACTAGTAATAAAACTTAATGATCAAAAGAAAAGATTGAAAATTCAACTGCATCAAAACTCAATATGTCTGTATGCAATAAGAAACATAAACAGTATAAAAAATACAGACTGTAAATATATTTAAAACATATGACAAAGGGCCAATTTCCCAAATGTGTAAAGAGTGCCTACAAATCAATAAGACAACTATGCAAAGGCCATGACAGATAGTTCATATGTAATAGAAGATAAATATTGGCAGTTATTCAGATTATAACTTAGCAATGAAGAGCACAGGCTCTGGAGTCATACAACCCTCTATCTTGGCTGAATCCAGTCCTGTTAGCCACTATCTACATAATCTTGGGCAAGTAAATTACCCCCTCTGTGTCTTCTGTTTCATGAAAAGAGAATAACAACACTATCTCATAGGATTGCTAAATTAAGTTAACATAAAGCACTTAGAATAATGCATTGCACAAAAGAAATGCTCAATAGATGTCATTATTGTACATTAAATAAATAAAAATCAACAAAAATAAAATAATACTTTTACCCAACATGAATGAAAAGACAAAATATTAATTTCACAGCACAGATGAGAATATGTAAAACAGGCCCTCAAGCACTTTTAGTGAGAATGCAAGTCAGTACAAACTCTTTGGAAGACAGTTGGCAGTATCTATCAAAATCTAAAATGCATTTAACAATAGACACAACAATTCCACTTCTAGACTTTATTCTGCTGATAAACTCTATTTATATGCAAAGACATGAACATGTAATAGTGAAAGGTTGGAAATGATCTCAGTTTCCATCAAGAGTAGACTATTAAAATAGATTAGGGCACACTCATAAAATAAAATATTTTGTAGTCATTAAAAATAATATGATATAATACGATAGAGCTATTTGTGCTAATAAAAATCTCCAAGATTTGTTGTTACAGTAAAATGGGGAATATCTATAATACAGTTAACAATAAAATAGTCTTAAAAAATAAGATGTATTTATATATTTATTCATCTGTGTATGTGAGTTACCATTTGTGTTTTTTTAAAAATAAAAGATTCATAGGCTTCTGTATACATAGAATATTTCTGGAATAATGCTGGAAAGAGCAACTGGGGAGCCAGAAGGAAGATAAATGGTTTTTATTTATATCTTTTGTCCTGTTTGAAATACTTTTTACCATAGGTGAAGTTTTGCTTTCAATTATATTTATACTAGAGGCCTGGTGCACAAAAATTTGTGCACTTGGGGGTAGGGAGTCCCTCAGCCCAGCCTGTGCCCTTTCGCAGTCTGGGACCCCTCGGGGGTGACCACCTGCTGGCTTAGGCCTGCTCCCCGGGGGATTGGGCCAGGATGGCAATCAGACATCCCTCTGGCAGCCCGGCAGCCCTCAGGGGATGTCCACTTGCCAGCGGGGAGCAGAACTAAGCTGCAGTCGAATATCCTTAGCACTGCTGAGGAGAGAGGCTCCCACCTCCACTGATGTACTGGGCAGCCGTCAGCCTGGCTTGTGGCTGAGCAGAGCTCCTCCATGTGAGAGCTCACTGACCACCAGAGGGCAGCTCCTGCATTGAGCGTCTGCCCCCTGGTGGTCAGTGTGTGTCATAGTGGCCAGTCATTCCCAGTCTTTCTGCTGTTAGGGTCAGTTTGCATATTACCCTGTTACTATATAGGATAGAGGCCTGGTGCCCGGGTGGGGGCCGGCTGCTTTGCCCTGAAGGGTGTCCCGGATCAGGGTGGGGGGTCCCGCTTGGGTGCCTGGCCAGCCTGGATGAGGGGCTGATGGGTGTTTGCAGCTGGTCACACCCCCTTAAGGGTGGGGGTCCCCACTGGGGTGCCTGGCCATTCTGGGTGAGGGGCTGAGGGCCGTTTTCAGGCTGGCAGGCAACTGAAGCTCCCAGCATCTCCTTTTTTTCTGTTTCTGTTTTTTTTTGTTTGTTTGTTTTTTTAATTCTGGGGTTTATTTACCTTCTATAGCTGTCACTGGAGCTGAGAGCTGGCTCCAGCTCTGAGGCCCGGCTCCAGCTCTGAGGCTGCGGCTGGCTGAAGCAGGTATCTGGGTTTGTTTAGTGTCTATAATTGAAACATTGTTGCCATCACTGCCGCTCTAAGCTCTGAGGCCGAAGCTGGCTGAAAGCAGGTAACTGGAGCTTGTTTAGCTTCTATAATTGCAACTTTGTTGCATAGACTGGAGCTCAGAGGGCAGGTGGGGAACCTTGGCTTCCTCCGTCACTGGAGCAACCAAGCCTCATGTTCGCTTCAGCTGCCTGGCTGCCGGCTGCCATCTTGGTTGGCAGTTAATTTGCATATCGCCCTGATTAGCCGATGGGAAGGGTAGCGAAGTTACGGTTAATTACCATGTTTCTCTATTATTAGATAGGATAGTAAATATATATTTATATATTCCTAACTATATTTAAAATCTAAGTGGCTATGAAACTATATATATATATATATATATAGAGAGAGAGAGAGAGAGAGAGAGAGAGAGAGAGAGAGAGAGAGAGGGAGGCCCGGTGCACAAAACTCATGCACTGGGGTGGAGTGGATCCCTCAGCCTGGCCTGCACCCTCTCACAGTCCAGGAGCCCTCGGGGGATGTCTGACTGCAGTGGAGGCGGGAGAGGCTCCTGCTACCACCACTGCACTCGCCAGCTGTGAGCCCGGCTTCTGGTTGAGCAGTGCTCCCCCTGTGGGAGTGCACTGACCATCAGGGGGCAGCTCCTGCATTGAGTGTCTTCCCCCTGGTGGTCAATGCACATCATAGCAATCGTTCGTTCCACTGTTCAGTCAATTTGCATATTAGCCTTTTATTATATAGGAGATATATATATATACACATATATATATACAAATATGTACATACATTAAACTGAGAGACATAATTATCTTATCATATGTGTCTATAGGTAGATATATAGAAATGAAAATGGGCAGGGCATAACTTCTTGAAAGCAGGAGTATGTTCTACCAGTGGAGTATGTTAGAGAGTTTGGGATAAAGATAGGACTCAAGAACAACCAGAAAACTCTTGATTAGGTTCCAAGTCTTTGTGTATATTCTTAATATGTTCTGTGCTTGTATATATTATTTGTAGCCCTCCCACCTATAGGGAACTAAACTAGGGAGCCTACATCAAGGGATAATTTAATAGGCTTCGCAATTTAAAAGTTATGACTTTAATCTTCACTTAAATTTCAGAACTTGAGAAAAATGCTTTTGATTTCTCAAGTTTAAACAACCCCACTTAATTATCCTCCCTTACCTGCCTCTTCCTTAGATCCACTAACAGCTCCTGATGTCTGATTCTTTATGCTAGGCAAATAGTTTGACCATCAAAGAATCATAAATATCTCTTGAATAAAAAGACAGTTAACTAAAAGTCAAGAACCTGGCTCATTCAAAAAAAGTTCTCAACAAAATGAATGTTGCCTAACTGCTCTAAATTAAAGGAATAAAAAATAGTTAATATTTGTGCCAAGAACTGTTTTCAGCTCCATATGTGGCTTGTCTTATTCCTTAAAACAATCCTATAAGGTAAGTATTATTATATACCCATTTTACAGATAAAGAAACTAAGGCATATAGAGCCTAACTGGTGAGCCAAAATTCAAATTTGGGACAAGTGACTTGAGAACCTCCTGGGAATATTTTCAACAGTTCTGAAAACCATCCACTCGCAAGATGATTTTGACATACCTGTGAACAGCCCCACTCCTCAGAGTTATTTTTTCCGTGACCATCTGTAGCACATGATCCCACTGGTTCAAGGCTTTTCTAGGGATGAGGAGGCGAGATGCTGGGCTTATGAGGTCTCCATTTGCAATCAAGCTGGACAAAAAGCAAAGCCAGTGAGCCATACCATTTGACAGAGTAATGCCACTATAATTATAGTGCAAACCCCAAACCAGAAGGAAACCACCAGCCAATTTCAACTTGAACTGTAAAGGCCTCCAACTTACAAGATAGTACAGGGTTCCTGAAGTGGTTTTCTAAATCGAGCTGACACGTTGATCCTGCTGTGGATTACTGGTTTTACCTTTAAAGGCAAAGAAATACAAATCACTGAGCTTATGTTAGTTGTTTCTTATTGAGGAAAAACTACAGGTTTCCAGGGAACTCGCTGAGACCTGTGATGCCTGTGTTAACATCTCGCTTTGTAAAGACACTCTGGGCTCATCCTCTATCAATATTATGTGGCCTTAACAAAGCTCTCAAGAAAAATTTCTGCCCCTGATCTATACCAATACAGACACTGTTGGGCTGTTAGAAGAATTTCAGGGCAACTTTTTAAAACAGTGCTTTCTAGAAAACAACAATAAAATAACCCTATAAAATACTGAACCCTGAAGCCCCCCTCCAGCTACAGTCTGTCTTGTCACCTCTCCTCTTCCACCTTCATTTCACCTACTCCCTGAATCTAGACACCATGCATCTTGACCTCATTCTATTCTCTTCAAACTAACTCTGTCACTTTTTCTCAAATTTCCTTCTTTCCAATTTATCAGCTGCCCTTGAACCAATGCCCTCTGTTTCTGAACTCTTTGCATCTAGGTGGGTCTGGTCATCTTTCCATCCTTGTTGCTTCTAGAATCCAGGCTGCTGTTAGCGAGAACTACATGGCTCCTTGGGACCTTCTCACCAAGCGTTTGCATCAGCCAGACTCATCCTCCTCCCAAGTCCATTACTTCTTACATTTCCTATGGTGGATAATCCAAATCCCGACCTCTCATCTTAAACCCTAAAATCCCACCCCACATACTCAGCAGATCATTTCCTTCCAACTGATCATTCTCAGCAGATCAAACTTCAAGAAAAGAAGCTGAAAGGCCTACAGCCTTTCAAGCTCTGTATCCTGCCCATCCCACCGCCTCTGCACCTTCACTGCTTCTCACCTTTCTGCCTGTCTCATAAGGAGGATCTTCATCCCTTTACAAAGCTCACCCCCACTTGGAATTTGTCCCCCGATGGCTCTATTTGTCCCATTAATTATCTAGGCCCCTCCACCGCCATGTGGGATCTTCAATTTCTCCCTTAGCCCTTTGGCCCTATTAAGCACTACCCCATCCCTATATATCCTCCTCCTCCTTCACATTCCCACTTCCTCCTGCCCACATCCTATCTCTGACCTTCTCTTATCCAGTTTCCATCTCTACCACTGAAAGATAATGCCCAACTCTTAGGCATTGCCTGTAAGAACCCCATGGCCAACCATTGCTTGCTCAGTTTCCTTGCCTCCTACCAATATTCCTTCCATGCAGACCTCTGGTAATACACTTTACACAAACTAGCACACTCCCCTCCATTCCCAAAACACGCCATGCATCCACCTCTGTGCCTTTGTGCATCATGCCCCTCTGCATACAATGCCCTAATTTCTCCATTCGCTGGGCCTAGCTCATTAATCACTGGTCTTCCTCTATTCATTCTTCCTTCGCTTTCTGTCTCAAACTGCTACTGCTACTATAGTGTATAGTCGATGACAGCACTTTTGAGGGCTTCCACTCCCCAATTTGAAAAGAAAACTTATAAGCAAAGTGAACTAATAAAAACAGCTAACACTTATTGCACTAGATTTAATGGAAAGCACTGTGCTAAGTAATTTACATGCGTTATATATCATTTAATCATCAAAGCCTTATCCTGAAGTACAATTACTATTGCCCCATTTTACAAGTGAACAAACTAGGGCTTAATTAATTTGTCTAAAATATCACACATAATAAGGAGCCGAGTAGTTAGTGAGCCCATATATATGAATTCTAACTATTGGTTATACACTTTACTAGCTATTTCAAGATCAAATATTAACCCTGAATAATTTATAGTATTCTCTCCTTTTTTCAAAATATGCTTTTTTGAGTGGAACAAAATGCATGAATTTTCCTGCCTCTCACTGGTGACTAAAAAAATACTTGCAATGCCTGTTAGTTGTATAATAAATGTTTGTTAAAATTTAATTAAAAGATACACTGATCTAAGGCACATGGATCAATGAAACAAAATAGAGAGCCAGGAAATAAACCCACACATTTATGGTCAGTTAATTTACAATAAAGAAGCCAAGAATATATGTACAATATGAAAAGGACAATCTCTTCATGCAAACTAAACAGCCTCATAAAAATGAATGAAACTGGACCCCTATATTATACCGTATACAAAAATCAATTCAAAACCAATTAAAGACATAAATATAAGACCTAAAACCATAAGTCCTGAAATGAAACATAGGGAGTGAGCTCCTTAACAAGAGATAACAAGTGTTGGTTAAGATGTGGAGAAAAGTAAACCCTTGTGTACTGTTGGTAAAAATGCAAATTGGTTCAGACACTACGGAGGTTCCTCAAAAAATTAAAAATAGAACTACCAAATGATCCAAAAATCCCACTTCTGAGCATTGATTTAAGGTAATGGACATAGGACATTTGAAGAGATATCGGTACTCCCATGTTCATTGTAGCATTATTCACAATAGTCAAGACACAGAAACAATTTAAGTGTCTGCTCATGAAAAATGGATAAAGAAAATATGATATCACACACACACACACACGCACGCACACACATGCACATACACAGTGGAATATTATTCAGCTCTGAGAAATAAGGAAGTCCTGCCACTTGTGACAACACGGATGGACCTTAAGGGCATTATGCTAACTGAAATAAACCAGACAAAGAAAAAAAAATTGCATGATATCACTTACACATAGAATCTGGAAACAAAAAAAAAAGTCAAACTCATAGAAAAGGAGAGTAGAAAAGTGGTTGCCAGAGAGGGTGGGGAAATGGGGAGAGTAACCAGATACAAACGTTCAGCTAGAACAGTGGTTCTCAACCTTCTGGCCCTTTAAATACAGTTCCTCAGGTTGTGACCCAACCATAAAATTATTTTCGTTGCTACTTCATAACTGTAATGTTGCTACTGTTATGAATCATAATGTAAATATCTGATATGCAGGATGGTCTTAGGCGACCTCTGAGAAAGGGTTGTTCGACTGCCAAAGGGGTGGCGACCCACAGGTTGAGAACCGCTGAGCTAGAAGATGAATAAGGTCTGAGGATTCAACGTACAACATGGAAGAAAAAAAGATACTCCAATACAGAACAGAACATTTCAATTCAATCAAAATAATTTCACATTTTAAACCCGAGACTCTTGCACCTATACCAACATTAATGGTGATGGTGACTTGTTTAAAAAAAGATGTTTAATAGGTAAGGCAGGCACCTACACAAAATTCAAATAGTAAAATGAGGCAAATGGTGAAAAACAAATGCCCTTCCTACTCCTGCTCCCCACCACCACGTTGCAACCAGAGTCAACAATGTCCCTTCAAACATCAGTCTACACAGACATAAGCATATCATCTTATGAACATATAATTTTTAAACACAAGTATATCCTGCTATATCCCTTCTTCTGCACCTCCCTTTTTCACGTAGCAATGTACCATGGAGACCACTATGGAGCTTAGGGGAAGGGTTGCTTCATTCTTTATAGCAGCTGTGTATATCCCACTCTGTGGACACTCCATAGTTTAATTAACCTGTCCCTTAATAATGGTTTCCAAACCTTTGCAGACTTTGTTTCCAAACTTTTGCTATTGCAAATAGTGCCATGACATGTTTCCTTGGAGATACTCATTTGCACAAATATGTTAGTATGTCTGTAGAATAAACTATTAAAATTGAGAACTTGCTAAATAAATAAGCATTTTTTGTTTAATGGAATTTATTGAAAGCTTAGTCTATTGATCAATCTCAAGAGTCCCTTGATTTATTTAAGTTCATACTATAGCACAGACAATAAATCCATTTATAAGGAATGCTGTTATATGGCCAGGTGTGGTTTACAATGTCTTTAGGTGACTACAAATCCCTCTCCCATCAATCAGATTGCTTCCTCATAAGGTCAGCATGTTTAACTGCATGTAACTTTTAACTGTGTGAAGGACAGGCCTTTCTTGCCGGGGTCCAACCCCAGCAGGTCCAGGGGTTCCCAAAGGCGTAGACGGAGTCGGCGAAGAAGGATGGACACGGAGACAGTGTTCAGTTGATCAGCAGCCTAGCCAGCATCTCCAGCCAGGATCTCTAGCCAAGTTCTGGTCTGGATCTCTAGAGAAGCTCTGCTGTTTATTGTCTTGTTACATCCGTATTTATCCCAGTTGATTTTAATCCTGTCAATTTCTATTACAAAGGTTAGGGCGTTTCTTATCTCCATTCCAGGGAGTAAAGATTATGTAGCTTAAGCATGATTGTTTGTAGTGATTAACTGCCCGCCTGGCACTTAGTTAAGGAGTTTCATCCCCTCCCTGACTTCAGGGAAAAATTCCTACCTGGGGAAACAACCTTTCTCGGAGAGGTGACCTTGGTTAAAACACACAGCGCTAAGGGGAGCAAACATATTAAGAACAGTATGCTATATACGCCAGGTCCCTTGAAACATATGCTGTGCAGATGTTTCTTTCCTGCAGCGACTGTGTCAAGCAGCAAGGATGGACCGGCTTCCGGCACTTTCTGACTCTGATTGTGTAACAGTGTCTTCCTCTTGAAATCCACTTTTTAAATATAGCTACACTGGCTCCCTGCTCACTTGACTTAAAGCTGCTGCCACATCCCTGGTTCTCTGTTGCCTTTCACTGCTGATGGTGATATTTTTTTCCATATCACCATCATCTGACACATAGTATATTTTATTTATTTGGTGTCTATTTTCTGGTCCCTATTGTTACTTTTTAGTTACTCTCAATATTAACTACTAATGTACTGAGTGCACACTTCATAGTCAGTTGTTAATTTTTCAAAAGTCTTGCCTACCAACCTTAATTGTTCAATACTTTGCTGGATTATTGAATTCAAGATGAAGATGAATAAGTTATATAAATAAATAACTTAAAGACTTTTGAGTTGGCTAAAATATGCTACTCTTTTTTAGAGCATACGTATTTATAATATATAGAATTTCATAAATAAACATGATTTTAAAAATAATTACATAACTTCATTCTGAGTCTATAAATTGTTGCTTGAATT